TTTTTAATTGGTGTCAGACACGAGGATAATTTCAAAAAGGCAAAAGACTTCACGCTTTTGGATTTTAATTTCCGTTCCTTGAAATGTCCCTTTCCTTTCCGTTGATCAAGACACTGGTATTTGGGAAAAGCCTCGAGATAGAAATATGTTAAAAACAGCTGCCAGGAATGAGATGCTTGGGAATACCAGGATTTCAGTGACTTTTAAACAAAAGAAATCCATTCTTTCAATGCTGCAGATATGATATATGCTAACTGACAGTTCTGAGCCATTCGAGCTTGTCCACAGAGAGCAGATACTTTTATCCTTGGAGGCTGCAGTTTGGGGCAGGGGTCATTTTTTTTATGTTGCTACCAATTTGTATCCATGGCTTGGCCTTACCAAAGCAGAAAGGGTGCAGGAAAATGTAGAATTACGTTTTTAAAAAAAAAAATGGAAAAAAAAAATACTCACAAACATTTTTGTATTACTGCCCCCTGCATATGATACTTGAATTTCCTTTTTAAAAAGGATTTGAAACCGCAGTGTTTTAAAATTAAGTCTGAAAAGAAAAAAAAAAAAAAGGTTGTTTTTTTCTTTTATTTTGTTTCTCGCCGTGTCTTCTGTTCAATTCCTGACTCTCTTGAACTACAATAAATGATACACACTCGCACACAACGGTCCCTGGGTCTTTCTTTGGAATTGGGTCAGGGAAAATATAAAAAAAAAAATACAAATGTTCAGGTTGGCTGATGTGGTTTAGGATTGGAGATAAGTCAGTAAATGATGTGGGAAATGTCTGAGCACACGGATACCAGCGATACTTTGAACTGGAGACTGTTCCCAGCAGGTGACACCGAACACCTCTTCACAGCCACGGGACAGCTGGTGACAGCTCCAGGGGGAGTTTGGGGCAGGTTATAAATAATCTGAGGTGTGCAATTAACTCTAAATTATTAAATGTGAAGATATAGTGTGTGGGGGGGTTGATTGTTTGTGGGGTTTTCTTCAGTGGTGCTTCCCCCTGCAGAGCGTGACCCTGTGTTTCCTTTCTCCAAGATGGGAGCAAGATTCCAAAGCTTGTGTGTGTGTGGGCTTCTGGAACAGAGGAGCTTGTTTGGTGGCTGGTTTTATAATTATAACCTTCACTCCTTCCACAAACTCAAATCCCCCTCTTTCCCCTCTTCAAAAGTCAGAGAACAAAGCCCTGTCTGCTTTTACCTGCAGGCTGTCAGTCAGCACCCAAACCCAGCACGGATCCTGGGATGGGTATGGGGAGCTCTGATCGCTGCTTTGGTGAAGAGGGAATTTCTACATAAAAAAAAATCCCTTATATATTTCACTGTCCCCTCTTTATTAAGGATTATTGAAAGAAATCTCTAGAAACATCCTGAAATATATCCTTTGTTTGATGGAGGACAACTGTCCACAGGGTGTATTTGTTTTTACTGGAGAATGAGAGAACTGCTATGCTTTCACATTATGGCTTTTTTCCTGCATGTTGAAATGAAATTAAACCCAGCTGGTTGCATCAGTGTAGCCTGTACAGGGCTGGAGGTCTGCTGCTCTCTTAAGAGAGTTCTTGATGTTTTACGTTTGAAGTGTAGTAACCAATGTCAAAGAGGTTTGGGAATGTAAATGTTTTACCAGGAATTCTGGATGGGCAGCTGTTTTCAATGCAAGTATAAAATGAAAGCTCTCTAATTTTATTTTTTTGGCAGGAGGAAATAGAAGTATTTACCTTTGGTGTGGGATGTTTGAAGCAAGAGAATGCCCTTCAGAATCTGAATTTATCTTTATTCTGCCATTGTGTCAGGCTCTGACCTGAGGAGTATAAATAGCAACGTGCATTACTGGAATGTTTTGTCTAATTATGGCACACATCTATCATTTGAAAATATGTCAATGCAGATATTGCACAAGGCACAAAGGCTTGAAATAAGTGGCCAAAACAATTTTATCTGGAGGACTGGTATCAAGTATTTCAAAGGTGTGAGCTCAGACAAGTGCTTTCCCAAATTCAGCTTTCATGGGCACAGTAATGGAATGTACTTAAACAGGAGCAGCTGGGAGGGCCATTCTATTGCTGTCCAGGCACAGAAGTGAACCAAACCCCTCTCTTTCAGTGGACTTTGGAGGAACTGAAAAGCAAAACTGACACTGGATTAAAAATAATTCTCCCACAAAAGCGTATCAGTTGTGTGACAATTCTTAGTTGAATTAATTTAGTGCTACCTGCAGTTTTTTGTGATTTTCCTTCCCCATTTCCCTTTCTCAATCCAACTGTAACCTCAGTGTGATACAGAGACTTTGTATTGATCACAGAAACTACCACTGGTGGGGTTACATTTGACACTGTATCTGCATAATACAAATATCTGAGCTGGCAATGGCTCATCCCAGCAATGGGCAAGGTATACAAATGTTGCAAAATGGGCTTTTCTAGGAGAATTTGAATATAAGATTGTATCACTGGTCTCTGCTGGTGCTCAAGCCCTAGACTAGAAAAATTCCCCGGGCAAGTGCTGATGTTACAGCAATACAATCCAGCCCAATTGATTCTATTATATCACAATTTATACTTATGTAATGGCACAATTTACATCTCTGTCAACTCTCCCCTGCTGGCAGCAAGGACAGCTAATGCTGTTTAATAGCAGGATGACAACCCTGCTGGCAGCCAGCAGCAGATTTACTCCACCAGCCCCCAGGAGAACTGCACTCCAGTGTATCTCTCTTTTCCTTATCACTTACCTTAAACCCCCCTCTCCCCTGTACTTACACAGGCTTCCCTGTCTCAGGTAGCACATCTTAGTGCTTTGAGTTACCAGCTCTATTTCTTTCTACTAACAAATGCAAGAAATTACTACTTACTTTTGTTTTTCTGGTATAAGAATGCTCAAGAACACTTTTCTTGGCCTGGGGGGCCTTCACTGTGTGACTTTTCTTGCAAAGGAGTATCTTAAATTCGAGATGTAAGCACACACATGCTTTCAGGGAATTGGATGTTTCTGCCCTTTCGGGGTTGTGTGGTGGTGTCAGACACATAAAAGGAGTAAGAACGGTCCTCTCCCTGTAAGCGAATTAACAAGAACTTTTTAAACAATGCAGTAGAATCCCACTGAAGTGCATTTTTCAGATAATTCTAAATTACCCAAGGATATCTGATTTTCAAAAACGATATTGAGAAGGCCCTTCTGATTAAACTGAGCTAAAATGCCAAATTCAATAATTGCACAGGCATTACAACCAGTTAGAGACACCTTTTAACTCTCTACTTGAATATTTAAGAGGCATTTTCCTCTGCTCCCCTCGTGGGGAGTGACCTCCCAGACCCCACACAGCACGTCCTGCCCTTTTTCTGGTTCCCCACGTGTAACTTGACTTTTCTCCGGCCGTTTCTGGCAGATTTCTCGAGCCCCTGTGATCAGATAACTGAATTAACGTCCTGGAGCCGTTCTGGGCGAGCCCTCCCCAAACTTGGGCATGGGACTGATGCAGGAGCTGCTGTTCCTAGGAGACACCACACAAACTTTGCTGAGGGAACATTAATCACAGGGTCTATTGCCATGGAGGGTTGCAGCACACACCCAGTATCTGAGCAGTTTGCAGGGCATTTGGAAACAGGTTTGGGGTTTTTTTTGTGGAGTTTTTGCCCCCCCACCCCTTTTTTTTTTTTTTTTTTTTTCAGGGAATATAGAGCTGACCTAATTCTGCATAGCCCCAGGTGGAAGTTAGCACAGTTACACCACACTCAAAACACTGTTAAATCATCTGTTCTCTCCGTAGGAAGTATTCTAAAGTTCAAATAATGGTATTTTCTAGGACATAAGAAAGCCACCTATTTTTGATTTGTTGGTTCTGTGGCAATATTTCCCTAAAATCCCCCGTTCAGCCATGGATTGTTTGGCTTTTCCATTTGTTGGCACAACTGCAGATGGGGCTGGCAAGGGGAAATAGTCACTTTTCACCAAACCAAGTATCAAACTCATTCTCCCAAAAAACTGAGACTTAAGGGACACAGTGAAGATTAACACAGCAAATAGCCAGGAGCCTGTGCACAAAAATAAACCTCGTTCTGAAACTACAAATCCCAGGTCCTGAATGTTCTCCACAGCTTAAATCCAATTTGTACGTGATGTTTTATGAAAAATATGTAATTAAGGTATTTCATGTAATCTTCAAAATGCTTAAATACTTAAGCATATTTCTAACAGGAGAAATTATCAAAGTGCTACTGGGATGGAAGAACTTCACAGCGAATAATTGTCACAAAAATAAAATGAGAATATGCATGAAGTTATTGAAAGTACGAGAGAACTGATACAGCACTACTGACTAAATGTAATCATTTACTTAAAAATCCACGATGAGCTCTACAAATACAATTTAGGCAGCTCAAAAAACCGTTTTGAAGGGGAGGGCGGGGGAATAATCAATCCCTCCCCTCAGAGCTACAAGGCTGAGGCCTAGTTTAGGGTTCCAGACCCCACTGAACCGCACTGGCTCCGGCAGCTGTGGAATTCGCCCCCTCAGACCCCGTGTTTCTGCAGCGCCCACCCACGTCGGGCCCTTGAGCCGGGGGCGCTCACATCGCACCGTCTCGCTGCTTTTTTCAGCCAGAAGCGCCCGTTTCTCCACACATGACGCCTTATCCCTGCTATTTTTAGCCAGAAGGGCCCGTTTCTCCCCGCACCTCTGGGAACGCCGCGCGTCCCCCTCACGCGCGCAGGGGCACAGCGCGGCGGGGCGGTGCTGCGGCCGTGTGTGGGGAGGGGGGAGCGGCGCGGAGGGATCCCCTCGGAGGGCGGTGCCGCTGCGGTCGGGCCGCGATTGAGGCGCGGCGCTGTCAGGCTGTGATTGACAGCGCTGGGGGCGGGCTCTCGCCGGTTCCTCGCCGCGCTATTGGTGGATTTCTAAGCGGTGGGCAGGGCGGCGGGCGGTGATTGGCGGAGCGGGAGGCGCTCCCCCCGCGGGGCGGGAGCGCAGCCCGCGGGCCCTCAGTGCGGGAGCGGCGCTGAGGCGAGCGCGGCGCCCGTTCCTCCCGGCGCGGCTTCGCTCTCCCTCCTCCCCTTTCTCCCCTCCCTCCTTCCCACCCTCGCCCTTCCCGCTCCCTTTCCCGGCGGCGGGGGGGGGGGTTCTCTCCCGGCCTCGGCGGAGGCGGCGATGGGGATGGCCGGGTTTTTGTCGCTGCGCTGCCGCGCCGGCTGCTGACCCCGCACCGCCCGCGCCTCCCGCGGACACCCCGCGCCAGGTGAGGGGGGCGCGGGGAACGGAGCGGGGCGGGGGTGGGCGATGCCGTAATGCGGAGGGGGAGGCGGCGGGGCCGCCGTACGCAGCTATGGGGCCCCGCGGAGGGATGGAGCGGGGGAAGGGATGGATAGGTGGATGAATAGATGGATGAATAGATGGATGGATGCGAGGCTGTCAGGGCAGCAGCGCAAGGGCGTGGGGCCCCGCTCGGCCTTGTCATCTGCCCGACGCATCTCCATCCCCCGGGACGCTTCCTTCTTTGCCTCCCTTCCCCTCCCTCCCTTCCCTTTTCCTCCTTCCCTTTCCTTCCTTTTCCCCCGGGCGGCCGCTCCCCGGCCTTTCCCTCGGCCCATCCCTCCCGCCGTGCCGCGTTCCGCCGTCCTTTTCCCCCCCGTTTCCAGCTGGGATGAGACGGAGGCGACAATGGCCGGTGCAGGGAGGGGGAGGCACGGCCCTTCCTGCAGCCGGAGATGCGGGAATGCGAAAGGCAGGGTGTCTTCCCGGCGGGTTTTCTGAGAGCGGCGGGGCCGGGGCCGGGGCCGGGCCGGGGCCGGGCCCGGCACAATTCCCGAGGCAGCCATGTTGGGATGATGAGCCGACAATCCCGGAGCGCGCTCGGGAGGCAGGAGAAGGGAGGGAGGGAGGGATGGAGGGATGTCAGGCCTGGCGGGTTTGGGGTCGTGGGCAGAACGCGGGTGTTCAGCTGAGGGGGGGAGAATTCACCAGAAGCTGTGATGGATTTACAGCGTGCACTAATGCGCTCGAACCAGATTTAAAAGGAGGTTTCTCCTCACTTCCAGCGCCGCCTTAGCTCGGTTCCTTCTGCTGTTGCTCACTGCGGTGTCGGTGTGTTGGTAAATAGCCATGTGTTCGTGCGATCGGGTTTCAGAGCATCGCCAAGTGCAGCGCAGTTTGGTCTGGCATCTTCACCTGGTCCAAAGATAGCAGAGCGTGGCGTGGGTTCAGCTGAGGGATCACGGTGTCATCGCTGAGCCTCAGAGCAGCACCTAAAATTGGCTTGGCTGGGGACCTCTTGTTCCTGAAGCTCTGCTGCCCTGAACAGCTGTTTTGCTAACTTTCCACATACTAATCCCTGGGCTTGCTTTATTTCTTTAGAGCTGTTGTAGCGATTAAGTTAAGCGGGTTTTTATTTAAAAGTTAGCACGTTCTCTGGGGGGCAAACCTTGTGCAAATATGACAAGGTGGCTGGTTATCTTAAATAAAAGTGATTCTTCTTCGTTTGTGATATCTAGTGGAATTTTTTGATTTTTATTTGAGTGTAGAGATACAGATTCTGAACATTGCAACAAGCTCAAAGTGGTTGCAAAAGCAAACTTCTGTGAACATGTAAATAATAATTTGACTCTAAATCCCTACTCAGCTTGTAACTTCACTTCAAAAAAAAAAAAAAAAAAAGCAATGTGTTTGTTTTTTGACATTGCATAAAAACTGATTTCAAATACACCCAAGGATCCAAGTCTTAATGTTTCTTCAAATATTTGTGTGAAAGTCCCAGTCTGGTTGAGCCTTTGAAGGGTGATTGATCAACATAATTAGGTTTGTCAGCTCGAATACCAGTCAACAGACAGGATATTCAAATGATTTGTTTAATATTAAAATCTCACTGTGTGATTTTCAGGGTGAATATCTTTTAATCATAGTTTAAAATAAGTGTGAAACCGGAGCGTAGGATTTGCTCTTGCGCCGGTGGAGCTCCCTGAACACCTCAAATATCATCTGCCACCTGTTTTGGAGCCAGTGGAGCGTCACGTCAAAGCCTTCCTTACGCAGGCAATTCCCTGCCTGGTTCCTGATTGGATCAGTACAGACAGAACATTCAGAGAGACACAGCTCCCAGCCTCTTTCCAAGACATTAGGGCAGTGATTCATTCCAGCAGGGATGGCAGCCTTCTAAAACCTGTAATGAACATTAAAAAAAAAAAAAAAAAAAAAAAAAAAAAAAAAAAAGCTGCCTTTTATGAATATTGTTCTTCTAAATCTGGCCCACAGACTGAATTGCATATTTTGGTTTGCTCTTTTTTTCGAGCTGTGTCTCCACTCTGTAGTCAGCGTTTTGTAGCAGGCAGTGATGCTGCTGGCAACTGAGAACCTCGACAAACCAGTTGCACTTTATTATCTGGGCTGCTCTGCAACTTGGGCTCGTTTTGCCTTATTTTATCAATCTGTAGGATGAGGGCAATGCTGCCTTTATAAAATATCACGACCAGTTAAAGTTGCTGATAAGTGGGGAAAAAACCCTCAACCCCCCCAACAGCTTAAATGTACGGCAAGCTTGGCAAAACATTGTGGGTTTGGTTAGTTTTCTTATTAATGAAAATGAAATCTTGCATAGTGAATTGGTCTTCATAACACCTGAAATCCATGTGCAGCTGCAAGTAGGCATATGAAAACTAGCAGAGTTCTAAATGAGATTTAAAATTACACCAATTTAGTTTTCCACCAGCACAAAAGTTAAGAGTTGGGAAGAGCTGGTAATTGCAGAAGTCTAACAGTTGAATTTTCGTGGTGCTGTGGGTGATTTTGTGACCTGTTCTGTGAGAATTTCTTCACAACCGTGTTTCAAACAAGGCTGTCATTTAGCTGGTGCATATGGAGGCTCTGGAGGTGTGATTTTCATGCTTTCTTATTGTGAAGATGATGTTCAGAGGTACTCGAGAACATGTATTTTAAAGCAGATGATTCTTTGATCCCACCCTCTGTTAGCCAGTTTCCTAGATGCACTAGTTATCTGCAGAAATTAATGCAGTGTTCTGAGGGGCATTTCTATAAAAACATCAGAAAAAAGTCTTTGTGGGACTCTGCATGAAGAAGGGGAAACAATCCCTGCATTTCATAAACAATATTATAAGAACACGTTGGTCAAAGTGAATGATGTCACCGTGAACTTGATAAAAAAAAGGACATTTTGCACTGGATTTTTGGAGTTGTGTTTCGGAAGCAGGATGCTGAGTATCATTCCTGTATCCAGGGTCGATTGGATGATGGCTCTGGGCTGTGTTAGGATTAGCCCTGGCACTTGGCGTGGGGTGAGGGCACAGGTACTTAGGCAAGGGTCCTGTTAGGGAGGGGGGGTGAAAATGCACCCAGGGAGTGCTCAGGAGGAAAGTTTAGAATGGATTTGATACTTTGTTATACACAAAAGGAACCTCTGAGCGAAGGGAATGGAGCAGTGCTCCAAAACGACCTGGAGTCTTGGAACACCACGGGAATTCGTTCCCATCACTTCTCTGCTCTGTTCTACATTTGGGTTTTTTAGTGAAACTTCTTAAAATTCCATCCCAACCCAAAGCTGACAGCATGTCTGCCTCATTAATCATTGCTCTCCCAGTTTGCTGCACCACTGCCATTGAGATTCACTTGGCTTGTTCCTAAAGACATTCTTCGAGTCTGGTGAGATCCCTCAGGTAGCTGCTGAAATAAGGAATGCTTTAAATTACTCCTCCTTGCCGGAGCAATTTAATTTCTCCCTTCCCCATGTGATGGCATTAATGAAGTAATGCAGTTTTATTAAAAACTTCTTGTCCTATGTGAAGATGTGCCATAACTTGAATCGAGCACTTAATGGGTATTTTTACCAGCTGTAGAACTCTCTTCTGATGGAAGAGGCTGGTTGAGAGAAAATACAACCAAATCAGGTTTTATTAACCCTGTGTTTGAATGGTTCTCAGCCTTGAAGTTTGGACAGTGGGTCTCAGGGGTAGTTTCCTGCCAACCAAAGTGCTCCATCATTTGGATGTGGTAGGATTAGAACGAGGATTTTGATGATGAAGATGAATTTAATGGTGGACATTTGCCTGCAGATGGATAGTAATATTTACCCCTAAGGCAACAGTTCTTGATTCCTCTTCTTCCTTACAGCGTGTCCTTTAATCAGTAGATAGCCAAGTAGTTGTTGAGTTGTTACTTCCTTTGAGAAGAGAACTTTCCCAGGACTGCAAAGGGTTCTTTAGGGGTCCACCCTTTTCTCTTGAGGCATGTGCACTGAAAATCAGTGTGATCCAGCCCACGAGCCTGCTGTCACTTTTGATATTGTTGTAATGCACTGGGCAGCCAGGGAACCTGGTATGGGGTTTATGGTCCCTGCCCCTGCTGAAATCCAAGGAGCTGTGTCTTTACTGCTAAAATTATCTGGGTTAGGTTAAGCTTCACATATGTTGCAACCGTATTTATTTGGGTATTGGCATCCCTGCTTTCTGGGAAGAAAACCGAGTATTGAAAACAAATATTTGTACACTTGAACAGAACTGCCTCAGGTGGCAGAAACTTTTGACTGGGGGGACAGTGAGCAGGTGCTGATGGTTGTGTGTCCAGTTCTGGCTTTGAAGTGACACTTTTTTTTTTTTTGGGGGGGGGGGGCCCAGGGAGTGCGATCGCACAGTGGAAATTGAAGTTATCAAGTAAGTTAAAACTTTTCTACTGTCAATAACTACATGACGTTTTTCTCTCTAGGAAACACCAACAGGAAGGATAATTTGAAAGGCTGTTGGTCACTTCCAACCCCTTGAGTGCACCCCAAGCAGCCAGGATGTCGGGGGCTTCGGTGAAGGTGGCTGTGCGGGTGCGGCCCTTCAACTCCCGGGAAACCAGCAAGGAGTCCAAATGTATCATCCAGATGCAAGGCAATTCAACCAGTAAGTTTATTTTAATCTGCTTAAGGGAGTCTTTCTTTCTCCCCACCCTTCCTGCTTAATGCTTTTCTTTCTGTCAGGCTGAGTGCTGTGTGCATTGTGTCATATGAATTCGTCTGTTGAGGATTCTGCTTTTCTGAGGTGGTTGTTACAAAATGGATTGTCTCTGAATTGGACTAGAAAGTCTAAATCATGAATGTCTTGATTTTGATGCTGTTATTTGTGGTGTTTGCTTGTGGTGAGCTGGAAATTCTACAGAAATGTTGGAATACCAAAGCGAAACCCTTTTTGTTGGCTTCAGTATGTGGGAATATCATGTGGTCTGACAGATACAGGGGTACAGTGCAGAGCACCACAGGATAATTGTGCTGTGAGTCCTGCTTGGGTCTGGTGCTTTGGTTCTTGGTGTGCTAATCTGCAGTCTGTGCCTTTGGCTGTGAACATAATTTGGGTGAGAAAGCTGAGGGGAAAAAGGATATCAAGTTTTATGCTCTGCAGAGTAGGTGTCTAAATGACAGCAAAATAACAGACTGCAGAAACTCATCTTCTTGCCTGACCAATTACAAGTGTTAGGCTTCTTAAATAATTACTGTGGGTCTCATTTGGAGGGGAAGACTATTCTGTGGGAACTGAACACGGGCACGCCTGTTTGGCTGTTTGGTTGGTTGTATTTACGTAGCTGAGCTCAGGGCAGTGTTGACAGCACTCCCTGTTCCTCATGTGCAGCCCAACAGCTCTGCCCCTACCCTGCTGCTCTTGGGGGAGTTTGTCACTGTTGGGCAATCAGGTAGAGTCATCTTGTCTGCAGCTGTAGGAAGCAGCACTCCCCAAGAGCACTGAGTTATTTTGCTGTCTGATTGCTGGAGTATTTACTCCTGGGAACACAAAGGAGGTTTCAGCCAGGCCTCTCCCTTTTTTTGTTTTTTTTTTTTAAGCCAAGGTGGTACATCAGCTTCTGCCATGGAATTTTAAGTCCTGGTTGTAGTCACTTAAATTACATGCAGTGTTTCATATGGTTTCATTGGAAAACAGGTGTCATACAGAAGAGAGCTCGTTTTTTAGTGCAGTGAACTCTTATCCTTGGACCTTATGTGAGATACTACCTGAAGAAACTTTTTTTGGGTTGAATTTCAAGAGCTTCACTTTAAAATAGGGGTGGGAGGGGGACGTTTGAAGTCGCCTCGTGTGGAACAGGTGCTTGTATCCCATGGTTGGATCCCAGTGTAGAACAGAAGTGCAGACTCCATCAGAGGCCACTTGTTATGGAAATGCCACCCAGCTCTGGGCTCCAGCAGCACTACTGGGTGCTCTGTGAGAGCTTCTCTTGCTGCAATCAGCACAGCAATCATTTCAGGTGCTTGAGGTGTTTGAATTCCAGGAGCCTGTGGAAACACCTCCTTTGTGGTGGAACAACAAGGGTGACAAGTCAACCTCTGGCAATTTGTTTGTCTGAGTTTGAGCTGTGGTGTAAACCAAAGACACTGGTTGTGCCTCTGAATCCTTGAGCTGCATTGCAGCGACACATTTCCAGGGAAATGCATCAGCTTTCCAAAGGAGAAAAGTGCTACCTGATTTACCCAGCTGGCAGTTTCTTTACAGTTTTGGAACTGTTTTGTGCTCTGGAAATGTTCTGATGTGCAGCCTTCTATTTGAGCCCCGTGGCTCTGACACGAGCTGGGGGATGTGACAGATGGTCAGGGTTAAGTCATTGAGGCCATTCCAGGCTGTGGGAAAGGAATCACCAATTGCACTAGTTACACCTTGTTCCAGTCTATGGGGTGTTTTTTTACCTGTATTTCCCTCTTAGAGGAGAAGCACAAGAAAGCAAGAGACAGAGGAGTGGTTTGAACACAGGAGGATTGTATAATAAAGGATATGAGTAAGGCATTGTTTGGTGAGGAAAAAAAAACAAAACAAACCTGAGCAGAAATCTTAGCTTCAAAGAATCTTCCCAGCAAAGTTGTCTGACACACTTAACTTTAAGCTGAAATTCTTCTGGGAAGCTTTTAGGCTACGTGTAAGATTTGGGGGCATAAAGTGCTGTTGCTATTTCTGCCAAAAATTCTTTCATTTTCACAGTCCTCAGTTTTTTGCAACCTCACAGTTGTGTTATTGGACTCCCCAGTATTGAGGTCTGAACTTGTTGACCAAGAGCTGAGCACGTAAAGGGACATTAGTGTATCTGAGAGTCATCTCTGATTCAGCAATTTCAAAATTAAGGGAATTCAGTAGTAATTGTAGCCTGGGTTCCTGCCTCGCACCTTCAGATGTATTAACAAAATGATGGAGGCTTGGATATCTTGCCCCTGAAAAGGTTATTTTGTCGTTTGGGCACTAATCACATGTACAGGAGGCAAATCTGAGAGGCTGGTGATTTGCTGAGTAGTGACTATTTTGAGCCTGGAGACAGTCAGAGTTCCCTTATCTTGGAATTAAAGCCTAATGGACTGTTGTGATAGGGGATTGATGAGACAGTGTGAACTCTGATAGCTAAGAAGGGATTTGGGCTGTTACTTCGACTTTAATTCTGTGTCTATCGACTGGCCAAGCTATTCTACAAATCCTCTGTGGGTCCTGAGTTTAAACTTTGCCCAAGTCTGAGTTTTGTAAATGTGTTGGCAGAGACTGAAGCATTAAAGTGAGGCAAAGTGCTCAGGCTTTTGTTCAGGAAACAGTACAAAGCTCAGATAATGAAATGTATCCCAGGTGTTCTCTATTTACACATCATTTTTAATGGCTGTATAAAAAAGGAATGTTTTTTGACATCTATAATAACAAAAGTACGTTCTTGAAGTCGGAATGCCACGGGGGTTGCGCTGCTTTTGTTGGGCAGGTTTTGTGTGAGTTGGGGCTGTTTACAGCTTTTGGGCCTGCCTGTCATTCACGGGGTTCTTGCCAGCAAAGCAAAACATCCTCCTGGCTTAGGAAGCTTTCACTCAGTTTTTACACAGTTTAACTTTGCCTTAGAAGCAAAAGATCGGGATTTTGTTGTGGGCTCCTGCAGAATTTACTTGTTGTCCTCTCTGGTAGGAGATCAAGGCCTTTAATCAACATCTCCATCTTTATCATTTCTCAGTGTTTAAAAATGACGGTGGAGCTGAATACAGTCCTACAGATGTGTTGATCTCAGAAACAGAGAGTTCTTACAAAGGTCTTTAACCCAAAATGTTTGAGGACACTGACTGGGAGTAACTGGGACTTCTCTTGTTCTGCTGGAAGGAGGCAAAACACGGGAATTTTGAAACCAGTACTTGAAACATACACTGACAAAAGTAATGTGGTTTTATTTCCCTTTATGGTTGCTAGGGCACTGATGTGTGAGGCAGCACCTTTTACCTCCAGGATTGTCAGTTTTTCTGTCTCCAAATCCGTGTTGCAAAGCCGAGGTTGTGCAGCCCAGCTAGAGTCACATGTGCTGACTGCACCGAGGGGCTGGAATTTGGCAGGAGGCCTGTGCTGCTCAGATCATATCGAATTGCAGATGGCATCCACTGGAATGAGACTGCCAGGAGTTCTTCAGTGCACATGGGAGAGGTGGGGGTGGGAGAGGAGAAGCGAATGGAGGAGTTCCTAAAGACAGGAGAGGTTAAAAGCTGCAAAATTCTGCTATTTAACTCAAACTGGGAATGCCAAATACTTGCCAAAAGGAGAGGTAATGCCACTGTCAATTTAGTAACTAAAAAAAGATATCAAAACAGTAACTGAGTGGGATTAATTTAAGAAAAGGCCATCTTTTTTTTATAATTATCACTTAGAAACCACCTTAAGAAACATAAGGTTTATTTTCAAAAGTACCTGCTCTGCAAGTGGATTCAATTGACTGAAAGGCTTTGTTTCCCTTTGGAGTTCTGCTCTGAGAGGATGTTCTTTAAATTGCTGACCAGGTGATTTATGGTGGCCAAACTCCTGAGTAGCTTCTTGAAATTAATAATTCAGGAATAGTTTGGTTTAGAATCGTGGTTTCCAACATGAATATGTTTTATCTTTAACTCCTGCTTATTCCCATTTTTGGTGAGGATGATTTCCACCAATGCACCTCCACACGATGTATTAATTACTTATTGCCTGTCCAGTTAATGAATTGCTGTTTCTGTGGTGAGTGGGAGAAAGATTCTGCTGTGTAACAGTTGGGGTAAAGCTGAGCTATGGATCTGACAGTGTTTTGTGTGTCAGTAGTGCTCGTGCTCCTCCTTGTTGGGCTTGTCAAACGTAACAAATATAAACAAGGTTGGCAGCTGCTGCCTTGGGTTACTGAGCTGAAAAGTGAAGCTGTTCTGGGCCTAAAGACTCCCTGAGTATTGTGCTTTTTCTGGCTGGTTTTTTGTTTGTTTGAGGGTTTGATTTTTTTGGTGGTTTTATTTTGTTTTTTTGGCGTGTGGAAGTGATTTGATAATCCTGCCTGTAAATAAATAATGCATCAAGAAAAACAATGAAAATGAAGCAGAGGCTCAAGGTAGCACCTGCAAGATGGCATTTACATATTAATCATATTGATATAGATATTAATCTAGCAGAGAGCCCAGCTAGCTGCTGCTTTTAAAAAGCTGAATAAGTATATAAGAAACTAAACTAATGAAGAGGGAAACAAGGGAGTGTCCTACTTGGAATATGTCCTGTGCAATTGCTGTTGCATTAAATGTGCATGAATGAATAGATGAATGAAAATAGGGTTTAGCATCTTGAGTGTGCCAGGGACAGAATAAAACAGAGTTCTCAAATTGTAATTCGTGTGAGATTATTGTATTTTTTGCTTTGCCAAGTTTATTTTCTGGTTGTTTGTTTTTTTTTTTCCTCTTAAGATGTGTCCTGCTTTATGCAATTGTTCTGGAGCAAATTAAAAATGGATGGGAAAGCGGGACTGAGCTTAAAAGGCTTTTGATTTATTCCATGTTTGTCTAAACCAGTGGAATTTGAAATCTAATACAAAAGTCAAAACTATTGAAAGGTTTACAGAGCAAGGGAACCTCCTCAGTAATTCAGCCAGCTCTTTATTGGTCTACACT